GCTAGGGCCAGACATTCAAAAAGCCCAAGCCTGAATTGATTCAATCTTTGGGTGGGGGGGGGGGGCATGCTCCCCCCTGTGACCTGTCTACAAGTCACCTATGAATGGGAGTATTTAGAATAAAACTCAAAAGTTAAGGTTCTTCCACAGTAGGCTTCTTGGATGCTTGCATTTAGCCAAAGTGACAAGATCTCTTTCAGGCTAGGGCCAGACATTCAAAAAGCCCAAGCCTGAATTGATTCAATCTTTGCAGGTTAGTCCAAACTGGCTGGGCTAAATCAGTTTTGTAACTGGACAGACATCCCAGAAATGCAGGCACATGCCTGTAGTGGCTCATGCTAGAAGCTAGGGGGCACTAGAGTAGCCCCACTTCCTTCCATAGCAGGGAGCTGAGTGGGGTGTGTCCAGGCCCCAGCAGGATGCTGTGATTAGCCCAGGAGTAGGGCTGTGCGAGGCTTCAGACAGAGCTTCAGATCCAGAGAAGCTTCGGACGCTTCAGGGCACTGGCCTCGTTAGGTTCAACATAGTGGGGTGAAAACTGCAAGTGTGGTAGCCTATGCTGAGACCACAAAGTCTGCCAAGTTTCAAGAAGATTAGTGCAGGGGTTTTGGGGCAACTGTACCCCAAATTCTTGAAAGCAAAACTCCAGTCATGTCTACGTGTTACAACACAGTGGGGTGAAAACTGCAGGACTGGTAGCTCTTGCTGAGGCCACAAAGCCTGCCAAGTTTCAAGAAGATCAGTGCAGGGGTTTGGGGAGAACGGCCCCTCAAGCAGCGGACAAGCAAAACTGGTGCCGTGGGTGCTGTGGGACTGACTGTGTCTGGCTTGGGGTGGGGAGGGGAGACACTACTGCAGGCCTGGCTGATAAGCTACTGTGTTACCAGTTATCAATCAATCAATTATAATTCCCTCTGGGATCAGGGACTCAGGGACCAGCTCAATACACAAGACCTAGCTACTACATAACGACTTAACAAGCATCAATTAGCACCTACAAACCCAGGCCAAGGAGAGGAAAGACTCAATACAGACAATCAACTGCACCAAGACAGAAACAGTCTTGGCATGAGTTTTGTCTGTCAGCAGCTAGGGGTGCAGGGCCCCAGAACCCCCCTGCACCAGTCTCCTCCACAGCTGGCAGGCATCACAGCAGGGCCTACCACCCCTGCAGCTGTCACCCTGCTGCGCCTTAGCACATGCAGTGTCATCCATGGCATGAGTTTTGCTTGTCTGCAGCTTGGGGTGCAATTCCTCCCAAACCCCTGCACTGAGCTCCTTGAAACTTGGCAGGCTTTGTGGCCTCAGTAAGAGCTACCACCCCTGCAGTTTTGACCCCCCCACCCTTTGTTGTAACACACGGTCGTGACATGAGTTTGGCTTTCAAGAATTTGGGGTACAGTTCCCCCCAAACCCCTGCACCGATCTTCTTGAAACTTGATAGATTTCATGCTGTCTTCAGCGGCTACCATCTCTACAAGTTTCATCCAAATTGGACAAGAAACAACAAAGTTATAGATATTTCATTGATTCGCCATTATACCCTATGGCCAGGTGTCTGAGGCGGCTCCGAAGCTTTGGAGCCTCTTTGGCTGAATCGAGGCAGAAACCCAGTCCAGAGCTCTAGATTGGATCATGGCCACCTGAAGCAGCTGGATCTGGAGCCAGATTGAATCACTGCCAACTCGCATAGGCCTACCCAGCAGGGGATTGATAACAGTGTTGATCACCCAATTAAGAAAACAACAGAGGAACATTACCAGCTACTTATTGATTCTGCCTGTTGATTCTACCTGCTGACTCATCACGGACCATAGCCAGCATGTGGTCTGCTAGCTAATACACTGACACCTCCTCAGGAAGGCAGAGGGGAGGGGTGAGAAGAGGAGAGTGGGGAAGCTGCAGCCAGAGAGCAGAGGGGAGGGGCTAGTTTTGCTGTGGAGCAGAGAGCCCCACCCAGCCCAGAGAGCATGCTGGGATGCTGGGGGTGTCTGGTTTATCTTAAACCAGCAAGGGGTCTGGGATAGACATTGCATAAACTGGTTTGACCCAAATCAAGTAAGTTTGATACTACATTCAACCAGGTTTATCTCAAACTGGTTTCAGCCATTCTCAAACTGGTTTATGTGCACTGAGCATCTGTTCTGTTACAGGTTTAAAGCAGTTTCTGATCACTTACACTGGTTTGTGTGCAATGTCTATCCCTAGCCTCAGTGTCATCAATTTGTGTTTCGTGCAATACACCACCACTGAGCTGCTCCATTTGTTTTTTCTACTGCCACAGCTTCGGCATTGAGAAGGCTTTTACATTGCTGTGGCATAACACAAGCAGGAGAGAAAAAAATATACCAGATACTCTTCTTGTCAGTGATTTACGTGATTTACATGAATATTGCTGCGTAGCTGTGAGATGCCTATGCCTATGCCTAATTCTGGATAATTCTAGATAATTAGGACTTTTATTGCTGCTCTATTTCAACGCTTAATTTGTTTCTGGAGTTTTTAGAAATCTTTTCTGATTTTTATTTTAGTAGCTAGTTTATACATGCTGTAGTTTTAGGTCTCAGAATCTCTCTTCAGTTTTCCCTCTTGTTGTGGAAGCAGCTGCTCTTGATATCTGGCTTCAGATAAATTTACCAGTCTGACCTTTAGTGCCAGAAACTGAACAAGAGTCTATCTCAAAATTAGTCCCATAAGAAACTACTGGTAGGTTAAAGCCAAACTACTCAGCTTGTGACAGCTGAAAAATGCCTGGATATTTATATGGGACTATTTCTAAATTGATATGAATAAACTGGTATTCAGAGACAGAAAGTAGGATGCTGTGACTCTTTATTGTGCTTAGCAAGCATGACAGTTAGATTAGCGTTTGATATTTTTCAGCTGTCACAAAAACCCTTCAGGATTAAAAAAAGATGTCTTGCTACATTTTTTATCTTCCACACGTAATGGAGGAGAAGAAGACATAGCTGTGCTCTCTCTTACTATCATACTGGAAGAAGTCTTACCAAATAAAGAATTGCAACCATTAAAATTAGTGTTTTGGATCTTCAAGCACATTCTTTATTACATTGCGTACCTAACATAACCCTTAATACATTTAAAGAGGAGTATAATAGTGTACTCTCTCAGACTGGAAGTACAAACTAATATATCCCTCTAAAGAATGTAGGGCTGCATACTTAACCCCCTCTTCACTTTAACACCTTTTCTGGGATCCATGCAAGTGTTATAATTACAAGGTGTTGATGATATTTCTAGAGGCCTGGAACAAGGGTTTGTCAGACTTGTGAGAGAGAAACAGATGATAAAGAAACAGTTAATTATAACAGAGATGTATTATGAGAGTGAAATTGCATTTAGAGCATATGGTTGTTGATGGAAGTAGATATGTAAGTATAACGTATTATTACTATTTGCAATTAGGATTTTTTATTATCATGGTTTAAAAAGTGATGATTGAGATAGCATTTTCTTTTTAAGTCTTTGTTTTCAGTGGCTTTCCTCAGTTTCCTTAGTCTGATTTGCTGTATGCCTCTCTTAGTGTGGATGTGATTGTTGTGAAGCTTGAAGAAAAATCCATTCAGCTGGTTTTGAATTATCCGAGTATTAAAAATTGTGCCTTTCAGCTGTTAAAGAAATTGAACAAGAATGTTGGAGCTTGCCTTTTAGCATGCATGCACAGTAATCCTCAACGTGAAGTGCTGCTTTGTTGAGCCTTAAAAAATAATTTGAAATACAAAGAAGTTCACTTCTATTTCACGTTTTCAATATACTGTATTGTTTATTTCAAAAGGCACCAAATTTAATTAACAAGCACAACTATAACTGGATAGCTGAATAAATCCAGCACCTGAAACCTTCCCGAATCTTCCCATCACTCTGGAAGGCCATCCTTCCCCAAGAGATCCTTGGGACATCCTCCAATTTTCTGAAAATGTTAGAAAATGGCAATAGGTTTGGTGGTGCTGGTCTCCTGGTGCTGGCACCTCTTCTGATAGCAGAGTGCATTCTCTTGGGAATGGAGTTATGAGTAAAGTACTGCTGTGCTCTCACAGTCTGTGGCTACTAAAACAACCCCTTTCAAGTCATTGACATCTTGGCATAACTTAAGCAGTGCTGAGTCTGTTGTGCCAGAGATCAAGTGCTCTCCCCAGGAGCCAGAAGATCATGGAACTGGAAAAGTAGTATGTTACTTTTGCCTTTTCTGCCTTAATCTTGTGCCAAGCTTAGGTGGACCAAAGAATCTGGTTCCATAACTTATGTAATTAATATATCAATAAAAAGTGTACCTTAAAATATTGCTGGGTTTTGGGTTGCAGCCGTGCTGGTCTAAGAACATAGGCAGGCAAGGTATTTTGGGTAGATGTGATATTTTTTTATTAGACTGAATAGTTGGAAAAAAGTGTTTTTGCAAGCTTTCGGGCTCAATCACTCTTCTTCAGGCATATGTTGGTCTAATAAAAGATACCACAGCTACCCAAAAAACCTTGCCTGCCTTAAAATATTGAACTCTATGTCATTAGCTTTAAGATAATCCTCCACCATGAGTAGTTGGAAAATAACTATTTAAGAGTTTTAATTAGTCATGCACACTCCAATTTAATTTGTATAAATGACTTCAGAAATTACCCTTTGTATGTTAGTTTTGTGATGAACCCGGTCTGCTGTGGGGGGAGCAATTTGACATGCTTACTTCTCAGGACTATTGAATTTTACTGCTGTAAACTGAATGAGAAGATTTACATAGGGGCAGGTGGAGTCAGCGTTTGGACAGAAATCTAAATCCCATTTGAATGTAGCACAGAAGACAGACATAGATAATTGTACTTCTTAAAATCACTAGTTTATGGCCATAGGACTTTTTGAGATGTGTGAAGACCTGCTAACTGTACATATATAATTTTTCTTTTTCTTCGATCACTGTAACACCCCTGCTACTGGATGGAAGAGAGCAGGGCAGGACAGGGAGAGCAGAGCTAGTGCAGCTTGCAGAAAGCCTGGCTTCAAGAAACAGCTGGTGTGAGTAGCAGGGTTACATGGGCTGTGGGACTCATCCTGCGGATATGAGATGCTGATTAGAGAGTTAGCAGCACCTGGGACCTGCTAACAGAGAGCTGAATCAGATGAGTGGAAGAGGCAGGAGCAAGGGGCCATATAAGCCTGAGCCTGAGGGTAAGGGTTCAAACTAACCCAGATTTTCAGAAGGGTAAGGAGGCCTGTGGGGAGTTTCATAAAAACAAGCATTTGTGTATTATATAGTTGATTCCTTTTGGGTTTTGGGTAACTGGGACCTTGGTTGTGGCTACAGGAGTGGTTTGGAGGGTACAAGGAATAAAATTGGAGTAATACCCATGAGGCACAGGTGTGGCTATGGGGGCACCTGGAGACCATGATTAAAGCTCTTAAGACACAATGATAGGGTGACCATATTTTCAAGAGGGAAAGGTGGGACACATACCCTCTTCCTGCCCTCACACTCCACTGCGGTAACCATGGCTGGACAGGAGCCAAATGTAGCGAAGTCAGGGCAGATGTGGCCTGTCAGATGTGGCCTGTCAGCTGTGAGCTCAGAGCTCCCCACCCTGCTGCCTTTCCCTTGGGATCACCATGCTAGCTGTACACCCCTGTCTACCTGACAGCAGCAGAGGGCACAACTTGATGCTGCCACAGGCCCTGCTGTTGCTGTGTGGGCGGGGGGCATGTCACCATGGTGGCACAACTAGTGCAAGGCCCCTGGGGGCAGGACAGCAGAGCAGGGAGCCCTGACCCTGCAGTGGGCAGCCTGCATCTGCCGCTGCCCTGTGCTCCTCCTCCTGGATGAGCAACCTGTGGCTCTATCCTGCTCCTCACACCGGCCCCAAGCACTGCTCTGGCTGTGCAGTGTGCCAGCCCCTGCTCCACTCCTTCCCTCATCATGGGGGCCTCAATCTTTCCCCCCACTCCCCATATCCCCTCTCATAGACTTACCTGCAGTGAGCTGAAATCGATTTTTCCCAGCTGCATTTCCCAGTCACTTCCATGTGTGCAGGTGCACACATGCAAATAGCATCCTCTGAGTTCTTCTCCCAGCAACCCCTTGCAGGCTGGAAGGGGAAACCCTCTATTTCCTGATCCTTGCACATGCTGTGAATCCAAGACAAATGCTGTCCCAGAGTCATGCAACCCCAGGACCAGGACTTGAGGTTCCCATTGCAGGACTGTCCCACCCAATTAGGGATGGGTGGTCACCCTACTCAGTGACAGTAGATCTGGCCTAGGGCCAATAGTGCCAGGGCTTCGCATAAGAGAGACAGTGACAGAGGGACCACAGCTGGAGAGATTGAATTTGGGGTCAGAGAAACCCTGAGAGACTCAGTTTGGTAGTGGAGAAGCACCCAGTACTTTACCAAGAAAGAAGGCACCAAGGAAGAAGCTTTTTCAGCCTCTAGGGACAGCCTCCTTAGTGTATCATTGTTACCATCAAAGGCGTGGCAGGAAAGAGGGAGGAGGTTAGGGAGGCCAGACAATGAGGCAAGGTAAGTGGGGCAATGGGGGTGGGTCTTGGCCAGCTTCAGAGATTAAGTCTTGTTACACACTGTTTCCATATACAGAACTGTAATACTGTCAGAAAATAGTTCACTAGCACAAATCTTGTTTACGTGACCTATCTGTGTCCTCTTACTTTACCTGCCTATGTTAAAGCACCTAGATTAAGTGCACTGGAAACTGTCAGACCCAATGATGATTCTGATGTACAGTTTGTCTTGTATGTGAAGTCAAGAAAATTTCTCAGCTTGAAGGGAATAAGAAGGAGGATATTGAGAACCTTGTTAAACAATACAGAGAGGAGAAAGTTTGCAGAGATTTCAGCAAATCAAGCAGTGTGGCATCTTATTTTAATCGAAACATCTAAATTATGATAGCTTTATTCAATTCTGTATTACCTGTTAGTGTGGAATCTAAAACTGTAGTAGAATTTTCAAAAGTACCAAGTAATTTCTAGTGGTTTTTAACAAATACTCTTTTAGGCATGACTGATAGCATCGGTTTTGTTTAAGTTTAGCTGACACTTTTCTTTATAGGTTATGTCATTTATTCATCATTTTATCAGACTTTTAAACCATTTTGGCTGAAATTTATCACACAAGTATCTGCTTTGATCTGAATAGTTTTGTTAAATTTCAACCAAAACAGTTTGGGAAAATCTGAGACCAAGGTTAAGGAGTATATATCTTATTTGGTCCACATAAAAAAAAAAATTATGTGAATTTTATTTTTATTCCTCTAGCACCCTACTCTTTGGAGTAGCATCATGAAATTTGGCAATGGAGTTTATTTAACCACAGGTAAATAAGCCACCCCATACACTTAATATAAGCTTTAGGTTTAGGTATGCAACCCAATTAATTAAATGGGGGGTTTTGCCAGTAACATTAGTGGAAAAAAATTAAATCACTCTGTAGAATGCATCATTTGTATGCTGTGTTGTGAATTCCTTTTAGCACATGGAAATATGTTTATATTGATTTTAGATGCATATTAAATAGGAAGAAAACTGACCAGTATTGTAATATATTGAATATGTATTCTCACATTTCTGAAGTTTGTGCTATTGAAGAGTATACTTTTGTTTGTCATATAAGCAAATGATTCCATGAAGATATCTCCAGTCCCCATTGTCTTGAGTGGGATAAGAAGAAGGCCTGTGGCATTTCTTTCCTCTGAAAGAAAAGGCAAGGACTTTTCTTTCAAAGCAGTCTTTGCCCTGCCTGATCACATGTACTGAGACAATGTCTAGCCCCATTACAGGTTGGAGAAGGCTAGGCAAACCCTGCTTTCCCCAATCTATCTTTTGCCATGTAAATGTCCATTCAGATCAATGGCAGTATATGTGTAGCCAGCTCTAAATATTAACTTCATTTCACAAACCTTAATATACAACTCAGACCTCATATTAGGGGCATCAGAAGAACATGTTTTACTAATTCAGTGTTCAATCACACTTTCATTTACTGACAAGTAAAACCAGATATTTTCCTCTTGTGTATGTGTACATCTTTTTCATAGGACATTGTTTGGCACTATTAAATGTTAATAAAAGAGCATTGCTAATCATATTTACTAGCTATAAATTAGGAAATAGGTTGTACACTTTAACCATTACTGTAATGCAGCAAGTAATCTTGTGTGTTACATACCCCTTTATTGTCAATCAAAGAGACCATAAATAGTTCTTTTTAAACAAGTGATACATTATAATAATAAACAGCTCACTGACATTTCTAATAACAGCTTTGGAGGTATGCATGTGAGAGAGTGTAAAGTTATGACCTGGCAGTTCTCCAGAACATTTTATTTCCTCTTGCCAACATTTTATTTTACTGAAGTGTAAAAGAAGTGACAGGTTATTGTGTCTGTAATACTAGTTAATTTTTAACTTCAAAAACTTTCCTGTGATCTTAAAAGCTTATAATTTGTTCATAGGCACAAGTTTGTACAAGAATGCTGCAGCATCTGTATGTAATTTTAGCAAACAGATATAGTGGAAACTTGCACTCTCTCCAAAACCAGTTTAATTAGATGTGAAAAGTGGGTTAAGCTCTTACATTAATTATAATAGCTATAAACAGAAGACCAAATGTTTACATATCAAACTTGGTACAACAAGGTTTGGTGTGCCTCCTTCAGGATGATGAACTTTCTCAGTCCCCACTGAGATCAATGGGTGTGTGGGTGCTCAACGTTTCAGAGAATGTTCTCAGCGCCTTACAGAATCAGGCACAAAATAACTGGTGTAGCTTCCTGGAAAAACTGAAGCCAATGACAACACTTACACTGGCATCACTATGGCAATAGTTTCTTTGTTACACTGTGCAAACATGTTGTTAAAAGCTTTGAGAAATTAGAAGGACATTATCAAGGCAAAACAATGGTTCAGTCTTGCAGGCCCTTCATGGATGGTCCCATCAGTTTCCATTTTCTATTTTGCATTTTTTCAACATTCAATTTTTTGAGTAAAGGGTACAGGATCAAGTCCCTAATTTTTTATTTAACAAACCCTCTTCTGTCTGACTGATAATACCATGATACATTATAGTGGAAATAATTTTAAATGTACTTATGTATTTATGCAGACAAAGTTCCTTGGGTGAATTTGATATCTTTTATTAGACCAACCCAAATGGTTGGAGAATAGTTATTAAGCAAGCTTTCGGGTTCAAAAACCCTTCGTCAGGCTAAGGAAGCTGCAGCAGTTGGTGTGTGCTCTTCCTGGATGGAATGAAAAGTAAAGAAGCCAGGGGCTGGGCTGGGGAGTCAGTTGCCAGGCAGATTATAATGTATCAAAAATCCAATGTCTATGTTTAGTCCCTGATCTCTAGTATCCAGCAGGTTGATGAAATGGAGCTCATAGGCTCGTCTCTGGGAAGTGTTGTGTAAGTTTCCCTTGAGGATCAGGACTGAGAGATTGGAGAGAGAGAGTGGCCCTCCTGTGAGAAATGTGCCCCCCACCGGTAATTGAGTGTTTCTGTCTTTGATGGATTTCTGGTGTGCGTTCATTCTGGTGCGCAGTTGTTGTCTGGTCTCTCCTCTCAATCTGCCTGGCAAATTCACCCAAGGAACCTTGTCTGCCTATATCCTTAGGCCAACACGGCTACAACCTAAACCCCTGCCTTATGTATTTATTGCTTTTGTATTTTTTTCATATTTCTCAACTGGAACAGTGAAACTTTCTTAAAAATATTTGGCATTTTGTAGTCAATTTCACATTGAAACACTGAACATTTAATTTAAACATATTTTAAAATTGTAAAAACAGTTCTGTTAATATTAGGTTTTGTATAACCTTTTAAAAATGTCCTTCTGGTCTGAAAAAGCAATTCGCCAAACACCCTTCCCTCCCTGCCCATATTTTGTGTCTGTGGCAGTATTCTTTTAAAATGCTTTACATTATTTTTTTTCTGAATGATTACATTTATCTGCCTTTCAGTAAAAGTTATCAAAGGGGTCCTTTCAATTACTTAGTGGAAGTATATATAGAATAAATACTGTGTTTTACATTAATGAAGAAATATAATTATTCTTTAAAAAATGAAAATTTTTAAAGAATGTACTGCTTCAGCACTTGATTTGAGCCTATTTGTTGAAGATACTAAAATATTACACTAAAAATACTGTAGAACTTTTAGAATTCA